TGATATTTAATAATATCATGCTTAAATATCATAATCAGCATTAGTTCAGTGAAATGTATAAATGGCACATGAAAATGGGAAATCAAATGAAAAGTCAAATATATATTTATTTTTGACATTTTTATTCTGAATATAAAAGAGTAACACATTGATATTTTATTTCAGACAATATATTTTTAAGCGAAGAGAATTCATTGAAGGTATTTGCAGAGGTAGTCCCATTGCAGAAATATAATGAAATGATGATAAAGATGTAAATTTTCTCAGCTATATATACAGCATTGAGTCAAATAATGTTTTATATATATATATATATATATATATATATATATAATATATATATATATATATATATATATATATATATATATATATATATATATATATATTGAAAATAATGCACTGCTAATAAGCAAGAAAAAGACTTTAGAACATTTCAATTAGTGTGAAATTTTTTTAGGCATAATTTATAATTATATTTCTTTCACTCAGTGAAGGGTAATGTTTCTTCGTTGCCGTGTTTTCTCTAACATAGCATTCCTATAGTTTAATCTTGTTCTTTGCATACCTAATTTAGAATTAGGTTTTACCTTATAGTTTTGAAGCAAGTAATATTTTCATTTGATATATTTTTTTGAAATATAAAAACATGCATTTGAGAATATTCAAAAGTACGGATTTATATTACATTTTATCTTTTCAAAAGTAAAATATTTATCTTCTTAATTTAAGTAAAAGACTTCAAATTTTAATTACATAAAATTATTTAATATTATTCTTCACCTTATTTACATATAAACCTGTCTGAAATACAAAAAAAAAATAATTTCGATTCATTACTTCTAGGTATCTCCACTTCTTAGTTGGCAAAAAGTAATAAGAACCAATACCCCAAGGGAAACAACACTTAAGATGCAATTTTGTTTTCTTGAAAAAAAGTAATTTCAGCTATATTGTAAGAAACGCAACTCTTATTAATATGTATTACATGTACCTCTAACTTTTTTTAACACCTTTCTAGTTTGTGAACATTTTCTTTCTATTTTCACCGACTTCATTTTAGAGAGAAGGAAAAAGTTTGTCTTTTTTAATTTAAAAGAAAAGTGTTTAAAAAATATTCCTAAACTCTCATTTAGTTTTCAAATTATACTAACTCCACTTGTTATTACCTTATTGTCTTTCATAACTTTTAACTATTTTGTTTGATACCTAGAAGTTCCTAAATTTAACTTAATAATGATAAAGATATAAAATATAATGAAAGGCTGTTTTGAGTCATTCAAATATTTTCATACATAGTTTATACATACATGCATTCCTGACTTGGTGTGTAAGTGACACTTCGTATGATCTGTTAATAGCAGGAAACAAATGATCATTGTAATAGTGCAATTTTCTGAGTGGAACCTACAATATGAGTAGAGATTCTGTATTGTGTATTCTGACTAACTGTTCAGCTATAAACAGGAATATATTTAAACTTTGTTGTTTATACTTAACCGAATTTATTGCCATACCGTATTTTACATTGGAAACTAAAACTGAACTCAGATTATTATCTTCAGCCTTATCGCAGTTTAATTCTCTTGAATCTTGAATACTCTTAGCTACATAATTTAAAACGTATTGAAAAAAAAAATCAAGAAATTCTGCATGTACAAATGAAAGGGAATGCCAAATCAACTACAACCATATGTCCAATTTCTGAAACGAATACTGAAATAGAAAAAGAATGTGCGCTGAAATTGTGCAGACATTTTCACAAGACCGTTCTGAAGAAAAAAACTTAAGTATGCAATTGTTCAGTAGGTAACAATCCTATTAACATTTCGAATTTGAAACGAAAATTGGAGAGAAATATTACTTGGCTTAAAGTATATATCAAATGAAACTAAACTATCCTGTGAATTCCTCTACTTCTCTCTCTCTCTCTCTCTCTCTCTCTCTCTCTCTCTCTCTCTCTCTTTGATGCTTACAACCGATGCTTAGTGAATTTTTTCTCATTTCAAGTGAAGTGTTTGATTCTTCCGTGACAAATCGGAAATACTGAATTAGAATTTACTTGGAAAATAGGTATAAAAATAACAGTAACCGATACTTAAATTTTAGCTTTAAAGTTTTAGGATAGAAAGGAAGAAAATGTACGTGCAGAAACACACGGAAATATGAGAACGCATCTGTGTTTATTATTCTGGGTAATATTTCTTCTATATGCAGGATACGTCCACTCCCTCGGGTGTAAATCGCCAAGCGGGTCAGCGGTTGATTGGTAAGCTTTAAAAAAAGCAGTTGATTTATTGTATGTTGTTTTACGTCAATCTCGATAATTTTTCACTCATAAGGAGACGCAACCCCTTGCCAGTGGAGAGCTTCAATTTTTTTTCCTAAAATGGGCACTTACTGCCATGTAGCAGTAAGGGATCTTTTTCTTGCAAACACCTACTGCGACACGGGACCTCGGTTTATACGGTCCCATCCGAGTGACCTGTCCCCACGTCCAACAGTGGGACTCGAACCTGCAACGTATGGATTGACGCCTTTACTTCGCGATGAATGAGTATCTTAATATTGAATGAAATGCTTAATATGAAATGTGTTCATTGCAATATCTACATTGAGGAATAATAATATATACAAAAAATCTTAATTGATTTCCTTTCTTAGTTGTGATGTGTTTTGAGATTTTTTTTCTTATGAGATATAATACTATAGTATCTTGAAAAAAAAAAAATTTTCAAGGTGTCTGATTCATAGGAACAAGACTTGTAAATTAGCAAATACTGTGTACAAATAAGTGGAAAAAAATTACATCTAAATAACACTCTTCTGATTCCAATTTCTATGTTTGCAGTATTCTCTTATATCCATACTTTAAAGATTCTTTAAATAAAGCATATTAGATAGACATCTTACAATAAATTAAGAGAATAAAGAAGAAAATTCATAAATTAGAATTAATCCTTGTCTTTAAAAAATAGGTCCCTTCCCATGCAGTCCCAGAACTCAACCAAGAAGTTTCAATATTTCATCGTTTTCTTGTTTGTACTAAAGACCTTTTCGGTCATCAAATAAAAAGAATTATTTTAAGGAATTGACGGGGGATTCATTGTATGTGCAAACAGGAATAGTTTTGGAATGTGCCTTTTCCTGTTTCTAACGCAGAGTTACGCATATACCGTTTCCCCGCAATCACGCATTTTTCACACACTTTCAAAAAAATATTTTATCTTCAATTTGTGCCAATTCTCTTCTATTTAATTCTTTCTAAACTCTTATCAAATAAGCTATAAATTGAAATATGACATCATAATTATCAATATTACACTGTAAGCTTCCGAGAAACTTACACCGTGCTATAAAATGCTTGCAAGGAAAATTTAACCTCTTATTTCTAAGATCTGAATATAAAGTGTAAGTAGATGTCATAATTCAGTAAGCTGTAAATAGTTATAAAATATGAAAAGTCAAACCATTAAAAAAGGTATGATTATGTTTCTTGTTTGACAAATATACAGGTTCATCCTTTACAAGATTCCAAGAAATACAAAGAAGAATAACAAAGAAGTCAGGGGAGGCGAAAAATTCTACTACCTGGATGCAAATTCTAATCCCAAAAAATTAAATTTCTATGACGCTGACATTAGAGGACAGACTAACAACCCATTGTATCATACGCTTCAACAAATATACAACGGGTTGAGTTTTTAAAATTTATGATCATAATACCATATAACTTATGGTTCATTTTGTTTCAATTTTGAAACTGAGTTTTATTTTTGGCTCACCTGAGAAAAGTTGGGTGAGTTATTGCTATCTGTTTTCGTCCAAAGTCGTGCGTTCTGCATTATCATTTGAACATTTTCAGTTTCTTCTCTGTGACCGCTCAACCAATATCAACTAATTTTGAAAAAAAGCATTTACGGGTGAAGGGTTACAAAATTGTTGATTTCATGATCCCTATCGATCTGTGGCTTGAAGGTTGGGGCCATAACAACCCAAATAACTGCAATCTTTAAAAATCTTCTTTACTCCTTGGTATCAAGCAGTTAAACTGTCGGCATGCATATAATGATCTTCGAGTTTTCTACCAAAATTATAATATTCATGGTTGCAGGATCAAGGATTCCAGTGCTAAGGTGGGGCAACATAAATTATAAAGTGAATTGTATGATTTCTTTTGAAATCTTCTTCTCTGCTCCCGTGCATTAAACAAACAAGCTTAATGTATAGTTATATTATGATGAGGAAGGGTTCCTTTTCAAAAATTGTACTGTGAATTTCATGGCCCTTGGGTCAAGGGCTCTGGTCTTAGGATGGACCTATATTGATTATAAAATGAAAATGCTTGATTTTTTTTTTTTTTTGAATTCTGCTCCTGGGTATGAAACAAACTACTTACATTCATGTAGTTATGAAAAGGAAAGGTGATTTTTTCATAATTGTGAATTTCATGGCCCTGGGGCCAGGGATTCTGGTGTAAGGTCGGGGGGCTCTATTGATTATTAACTATATAATCAATAGAGCCCCACCCTTACATATAAATTTTTTGTTTAGGATTTATTTTTATTTAATCCTCAACGAATATATCTGCTTCTACAGTGACCATTTAAGTATTCATTCTTTGAAAATCTCCTTTTCTGTTCCTTGATATTAAACTAAATACATGCATAGTTATATTGCCAAAGGGTGCGTGTTTTTGAAATTGTGAATTTATTTGCCCCAGGGTAAGGGATTCTAGTGTTAGTGCGGAGATCTATTGATTATATAGTGAACATGCAATAAATTCTTTAAAAATGTTCTTCTCCATGACCGGGTATAAAACAAATTACATAGTTTTTCATAGCTATGATGCGAAAGGATGCGACTTACAGAATTGTTAATTTCATGGCGCAAGCATCAGGGGTTCTGATGTTAGGACATGGCTTTAATGATTACTATTATACAGTCTTTCTCCCCGCTCCTGTGGGTTACACAAACAAATTACATGCGTAATTATGAACATGATTGGTGTCTCTTTTAAAATTGTGAATGACCCTAAGGTCAGTGGTTAGGGCGGGCTTATATTCTTTAAAGTGAAATTAATTCTTGTAAAATCTGCTTCTATTTACGTCTCCCTATGAGTGAAAAATTCCCAAGAGGGACGTTAAACAATATACAATCAATCAATCTCTGTTACGTGTTCTGGATATAAGACAAACTACATAGGGTCATTCATCAAAAATTGTGAATTTCAAGTTCTCTGGATCAGATGTACCATAGAGGACGGAGGGGGTTAGTTATAAATTAGACGATGGACAGTCCCCACAGAAACAAATTATAGTTAGAAATCAGACCCCAGGATCATAAAACAAACTTAGAACTCGTATTTTGCATATGTCAGCGTATTGATGATAGAAAATTGGAAAGCATTTACATTTTGGTCTCCTTAACCTCTAAATAATTTAAGCATCTAAGGCATTTTTTGGCTTAAGCTTAAGATGCTTCATGATCCCGGGGCCAGGTCAAGATTATACAGTTGTTGAATGGGGTAGAGGGGAAGAGTGAATCTGTTGGACTGAAATGCAAGCTATTGCCCAAGACCGTAGGCCGCGGGTAACAGTTTGTACTCCGATCCAACTGGTAGACTGTTTCTTGAGACGTCCGTCAACAACTGTTTTGTTACACTCCTTTACTGAAAAAAATGACTCAGTTTAGCGCCATATGACGTCAGCGGGCAAACTTTCAAAAGTTTTTAACAGTTTATTTGAACAGTTCGTGGACCGACAACCGAGGAAAACGGTCAAACTGTTGCATTTCTTAAAGTAAGAAATTATAAAGGCGCTGTTTATTAGGGGTATAACAAATATAGTTTCGTTATTGAACGTTATATACATGTACAATTGTACGTCTTGGCATGCAGGTATTACCGATAAACATTGAATGTTCACTCCCTCCTTCATGGCACCTATTATGCCACTGCTCTCAGAGGAACGAGTTTGCTGTGCTCAAAATATATATTGTTTATTTGGAATTCTAGCTTCTACCTAAAAAGTTTTATATTGAACATGTACTATCAACAATTTATTTTCCTTTTTTAAACAGGAATCTACTGTACACGCTATATATAACGATCAGCCACCTGGGTCCAGTACCTGCAAAAATTTCAAAGCAAGTGGACACCTTAAAGGTTATATTTTCCCATTCACCATTACACTAATTACAATGTAATCCCACTTTTCGCTCCAACATTTTACAAATAAACAGATATTCATGTACCGGGGTATACATTAGCTGCAGAACTGTAGCTCTCTGCTTGAGAAAATTTGGACAGATTAAGCAGAGAGCTACAGATCTAAGCGTTGTAAAAACCCTCGATTTACGCAGACATTTTTTTGTTGCCACTTTAGGTACTTATTTCGTGTGGTTCAAGCTTTCTTTGACTTTTAGAATGATATCCTATAATAATTCATATATTGAACTCTTATATTTGATACTTTCTTTACCTTTTAACGGTCCGAAACAGTTCTGTATAGAGTTTTGTAATGTCGGTTTAAAACTGTAACCAAAAACAGTCATTTGTTAGCGTTGAGAGGAAAGTAAAAAATCAGGAATTGAAATTGAATGTATGATTAATTATTAGATACCATTTAAAATTATTTTCAAAGCTTGGGAAAGTATAAAATACACGGAAAAATATCCATAGTGAGCGACAAAAAATCGTCGGCGTAAATCGAAGGTTTTTATAATGCTTGGATCTGTAGCTCTCTGCTTTATCTGTCCCAATTTTCTCAAGCAGAGAGCTACAGTTCTACAGCTACACAATAACATGGATTTAACAAAAATTGTCAAATTTCTTAACATTTTAACATTTTTTTTTTTTGCATTTTAACATAATGCAAAATGTTCTCTATTTCTAATTTTAGGAGCAATAGCTTTCAATAATGAGGAAGGATTTTGGATAATTTCTAGTGTTCCTAGATTTCCAATTCCGAAAAAGTACGAATATGGAGATGGTCAACTTAAAAATGGACAGTCCATAATTTGCATTACGTTTGAAAGAAAATATCTTGACAAGATAGGTAACGTAATAAAGAAATAAAATTTGTAGTTATTAAAGATTTCAATTACCCCCATCATCTAACACCAGAAGGAGGACACATTTACTGTCTGGACTTGGTATGTCTTAAAAAAAATAGACAAAATACCCTTACTTATAAGTAAAATGATGTAAATAAATAGATAATTAAAAAAACATGGAATTTTAAATTTTTTTTATAAACAATCATTCCCATCGCCCTATTTTTAAAAAGAAATTTGACAATCTCTGTCGTCATGCAGAAATTCGCAGTTTTTAGAAGCTTTACAATATTCATGTATGGATAAATTTAGACAATGTGATATAAGTACATGTATTTTACGTCTTTTATCCCAAAATGGTAAATTAAGTTATATATTTAGAAAAACGAACTGTGGAAAGATAATAAACATGACGAAAAAATGGATTTCTAACATAATTATTTTGGTTACAAAAAAATAAGAATTTGAATTAGTAAAAACGTTGTCCTTTTCGTAATCCTGTCCGTTTTCCCTAAATCAGCGGAGTTCAGAATACATGTACATATTACTTAAGTCAACAAAACACAGTCACGTTTTATTCGTCAACTCTCTTCTAATAAAGATAATTAAGATTGGAATATTGATTATTATACTTTGTATAAATTACATTTTTTATTAAAAGGACATATAATATGAAGGCCTTATCTCTTCTCATTGAAAAGAAATGACCATGGTTAAAGCTTTTGTGACGGACAAACAGAACTATATCTAAATAGACGAAGGAGTTTTAATGTCCCCTCGCTTTTGCGAAATCGGGGACAGAAAGATTTTTTTCTTCAAAATCTTATTTTTCTTACGTAGTGGATGCCTTCAGTATAACTAAACCGTGTATCTATGATGGGAAGATTACATTTGGGGTGTCATCCGAGTCAAGTACAGACGTCCTGTTTACATCAAAAGGAGGAACAACGTTCAGATATTTCGGGAAATCAAACAATTTTTTAGAAGGTAAAAACTGCCGTTATGAAAGACGAATCATCTGAGTTATACATCCAGGGTAGGTCTGAAATGACTGGTTATATCTACATGTATATGGTAGACGCCATGACAACCCTTCTTTTATACGATCTTTGAAATAAATGCATGGAGACCTTTTATCTGTGGAATATGGAGTTTAACTTTATTAAATGTAATGACATTACCTAAAATATACTATAGAAGGGAAATCTAACTCCGTCTATCCTACATTTGACTAAACAGGAAATGTATAAGTTTTTAACATTCGGCGATCTTAATACATTCGAGGTTGTTTTTCCGACCTCTGACGATTGCCCACGTGTATGTGGGAGAGAAGCGGGAACGACAACTCTGGGTAGAAAACGGACAGGTTATATCTAGCAGACATATGGTAAGATGCAGTTTTGGAATCAATGCATTATAGATAGGTCGTGCACGGATGAGTGGTATTGTACCGCAATACAAGTAAATTTTGGTACCTTGAGCATGCCTCCAAATATGGACTATTCCAAAAATGTCTAACTGATTAGGAATTCCCCATCGCTTTTTTTTGGAAAGTATTTTACTCTTGGAATGTCGAATCCTCTGGTATCGAGTCTTGACCGTATAAAAATAGTGTTAACAAGTACAGCTGTACCCTTGTCTTTGGATTTAAATGAAATGTAATTTTCTCTTAAAATAAAATCTTGATAATGAATTTAATTTTATATTTTTGTGAGTTAGGGGGGTAGTGTAATGCGTTTTTTTTTTCTTGGGGGGGGGGGGGGGGGGTTTTGAGTTTTTAGTGTATCCTTGTGCGAAACGGCGATAACAGAATTTGCATTGCGATTGATGGCTAATGCTTCTTGGTGTACAGTGTATATTAAATTATTATACTTTGCCAGTGGATACTTGGGTTTGTGGTTCCCTCTGATACTGTCATTCAATTTTGACTTTTTTACATTCAGATTTGTATCGAAAGATCGTTGCAGAAAAGTTGATGGACGATCTAAAAGTGGAAACATGGCGTTCGAAAGACTCAGATGGTTTTTCTTCTTCATGCGACCAGTTCAAGGTGAATATTTTTTTTTGGAATCAATGTTAATTAATTAATTTAATTATACATTGATAATTTAAGTTTTCATAATTCATGTATTTAATTAACGATAGTTGTGTCAATCCTGTGGCTCAATAATTCTACCGTTCGCGGAGCAAGAAGTTGAAGTAAAGTCGACGTCGTAGATTCAAATCCCACTATGGGGTGAAAGGACAGGTCCTTCGGAAAACACCATTTAAACTAAGGTCCCTGTCGTAAGACATGTATAAGGAGCATTGGACTTTTCATTCTGGGTCTTTTATACAAAACGTTTTTTTTTTGCACTTTTTTTTAGGGGTTAGGTTGAGATTAATCTCATTTTCATAGTCTATTCTACTTTTTATTTTATAATATTAATAGTGTAAATTGATTTCAGGTTGCTAAAAGCGTGTCTATAATTACTTGGAAGGTATATACTTATACATATTCTTTCCATGCCATGAAAAACTGATAGTTAAGCAATTATTCATTGGGTGAGGGGTTGTTGACTGTTTATATGGCAATTTTATCTTTCACACAATTTCTTTTTTCATTGTAATATTGTTATTTTTGCATATTTGGGGGGAGAGGGTGTTTTGTTTTTGTGTTTGTCTTTGTGTCTGTCTGTCTATTTGTCTGTTTAGTTGTTTTTTTTTGGGGGGGGAGGGGGATGGTTTGATCCTTAAGTAAAGGATTGGTATGAAAGAAAGGAAATCTTCCAGCAAAAAAATCTACCTATCATCATTGTCTGCATTTTCTTTATAAGAATTACATACACATGTTGTCTTCTGAAAAGAACTCGGTTCACTTTACGCACAAAATGGCCCTATAGATATACCAATTGATTGAATAACACTTGATTTCCCACTTGAAGCATTAAGGTAAAAAAGAAAAAGACGTTGTGCTTTCTTTCCCCATTAAAACTGTTCTCCCAAAAGTTAAGGTCGTGGAGAACTGGCTTGAAACAGGGTATATTTTAAATTGTATTTTATTAGATTTGGAATGTCAAAGAAATTATGTTTGATGATAGCTATGAATTCAGATCTTCTAAAGATCATTCAAAATGGGCAGTGACAGAAAATAAAAACTGGATATGCATCGGGGATTTAAACAGAGATGTGAGTGATTGTATGCTGTAATCAATTACAAATGTTTTCGTAATGTTAGTTTGTGCGAAATTTTTCACAATAAAAACTATTTGATTATTTACCTAAGTAACATCGAATTTTATCAAAAAACGTGCTGTATTTCATTGATAAGGATATATCCGTTATTTCCTCTTTCACTTTTATATCCAAATAATTGCAAAAATTTTAACATCGCTCTCTTGAAAACAGATTTAAATCATTCAATATCACCCAATGTTTTGAGAGGAGTTGGGGATAAGAGATGGGTACCCCTAAAAAGTTCTCAAAATCTTTATTATATATTGCCATTAAGCTTCTCCTTTTTTAAATTTTGATCCTTTACATATTTTGGGTTTTCAAAAACAATATGGCGATTTTTTTCTTTCTATAATATTAAAGGAAACCCATCACTTGTCAACATTGCCTTAATAATATTATTCAATGAAACTTACTTACAGAATAACCCTGTTCACTTCTTATTTAACTTTTTGATTTGACACATCTTCAGTCTCCCTAATCAAACCATAGCATTTGCAATTATTATCATAAAGGAGGCGGGGTATCATTAAATGAATACACTATGCTCAAAGAACAAAGTGCATTTAGTCTTTTTGTTCATCAAATGTTACCGGTTTTTTTTTTTTTTTTTTTTTGTTTTTTTTTTTACATTAAGAACAATCATGTAGGGTGCATCAAAATACTTTATATATTTTGCTAAAAATACTTGGATATCTTTTTAAAAAAACTCAAACCTCTGAATCTAGATCTATTAAGAACAAAAAAATTCAAGATATCCGAGAATTCAAAATAACTGAGTTAAAAACTTTACAGATTATATGTAGTTGGAATTGATGCATTTTCACATATACCTTCTTTTACTTAGTGATGTTCGATAAAGCAATGTTAATTTAACTTTTTTTCCAGGACACGCAATGTAAAAGAGGTGGTGGAACAATGTGCCTAGAACATAAGGAAGTTTCAGATCAGTATAAAAAGTTGATTAAGTCGTTCGAAGAATGCAGCCAGAAAAGACAAAAGCCAGTTTGCTCTTTTGACGATAATTTCCCGAAGAAAGTGAGAAAAGTTTGTCCAAACCCATAATTTTTCCGAAGAAATCTACAAGTATACTGAGATTGACTTAAAAACCAACAAAAATGTGTAAAATGAAGAAAATTGGATAGACTGCTCTGCTCCATGTTTTTATTTTTTCAATGAATTTTTAGCTTGTTTGTTGTTTTGATATTTCATATTATATTCTTGAATTCTATGATCTCCGATATGCAGTTAAGTTTGATTAATTTTCAAACAAAAACATTTTATAATATGGAATTATAAACGAAAAAAGAAAATGGTTTAAAAGAAAAGGTAATGGAGCCTTCTAAAGCTTATCTTTTTAATCAACTCCATCGATAGCTTCCTTGCTGTGATATTCGAATGAAAAGGTAATGTCACGTTAAGTTTTATTACTTAATTCGTCCTTCTAGAAATGTTCCTTCTATTTTTGTTTTTAAAGTAGGCTTATAGATATTAGTGCAAACACTACAGGACAAGAAAACAAAAAGATTGCATGCTGACCCAGATTTACTGAGTATTGCAAGTAGGATTTTAAAAAGTGAACCATTTATTTTAAACGATCTTCAATAACACATTGTGAAAAATCTAGATTTTAAGGTCAATGTTATCAGTAAACTTTTTTTTAAAAAATGAGGTTAACCCAAGATTTCCAACCTTTTCAATATATTTTGCAAATCAGCCTTGAACAATAAAGGCGGCTGGATTTCTTCGATGCATTACATGCAGCTTTATCAAACTCATTTTGACGAAAGAAACATCCTTTGGCAATTTAAGTGCCTGTTTACCAGGATATGGGATTGAAATTTCTTTAATATGTCGCTTAATGAACTTAAGCGAGGAGCGCTGTCTTTTTCCAATTGACAGCTATCTTTTACACCAGGACAATGTATGAGAGCTCTATTCCGATATAAATATTCAATACAACACTTTATTCAACGAAACTAATGGATTATTTCAATGCACATATTACATATACTGGTCCTTCAAATAAAAGACAAACCCAGTCTATCCAAAACTTCTGGCCTTCATATGTAAGTACCCCTAACACCATACCTATGGCCATTTGAAAGGTTTTCTTTTCTATTATTAATTCTGTACACACGTATATGATACAGGTTTAAAAGTCCAAGTTAATCTTGAACTACAAACGCCAGTGTTTCTAGCAAAAGTCCTATAGTAATCCTTGGATTTCCAGTATAGGAACTGCCATCCATTTATTTGACACATATAGGACTAATATGATATATATGAGCTTGAGTCGCCCTCGTGACGCAGTGGTATATGATGTTCTAAAGTCGCAATGTGAAGAATTGAGAAATTGATCCTCACGTCGCGGGTACGAATACCACTTTGGGGCGTGAAGACCGATCCTTCGAATGAGACTGTTTAAACAAGGTCCCTTGTCGCAATAGGTGATGGCAGAAAAAAATCCATCTCTGCTTATTAGCAGTAAGTGCCGAGAATTGTAAAAAATATCAGCTCTCCCTCGGCAAGTGGTGGAATTTCCATCTCAACTCTCGAGAGGGACAACATACAGATATCTAAGCATGAGATGTGATGAAGTATTTATTTGCATCTGCAACTCCTTATTATTTATATTGAGAGCAAAGAAAATCCGTACTTTCAGTTATTTGAGCAATAATAACTTCGGAAAAAATGATTTTTCTTTCGAAATAAAAGTGGAAAATTTATGATTAATAAATTTATTTCCTTGAAAACTGACATTATTCCCAATGTTTTATTAAGCATGCAACTTTTTTTTCTATTAAGCGGGCTCAAAAGTTACCTCCGGTAATGGGATGAAAATCATTTAACCGTTAAACTACCGTTTTGGCGACGTTGAAGATGTCCTTCCCTTTTAAGTACAAATTTCATGTATAACTATCTTTTTTTCCCTCTAAAGTAAGACCGGTTCTCTTATCATATTTTAACAACAAAGTATAAAGGATGTCAATGAATTTGTATTTTCATTTTTTTATTTGTATAAATCACTGTACAGAGATACAAAGTTGAGTAGTACAAAGCCACATTCTTTACACTTCAACACATAAGAAAACATACATTTTGTGAATTATAAGTTGTGTGAGTATATAATAAATGTTAATTTGCTTATTTACAATCTCTTTGTTTATTATAAGATTGATTTGCAATATGAATAAAAGAAGTTGCGATATTTGACAATAAATATATGATATAGCCATGATTATAAGATGATATCTTTTAAAATTCTGACAATATACAGTTCTTCATATACAATATTTTTTCTTCCTAATTTATTCTTTGGATACTAGTAATTACAAAATCATCTTTTATTAAATTAAAGTAAAAATGATTATAGCACTTCATACATGTACATATACTTTGTAAAATGATTACAGGATAAGAGGTGTAAATATGAACATCCATATAAAATAATTCCGATTTGTATTATGAATAAAAAAAATCATGTCAGACCAAGTCATATAATAATCAGATTTCACCTTTACATTGTATTGATAACACAGACAAGAGTTAAAATTTATGTTTATATTGATAAGAAAATAAACAAGAAATGCACTTAGTTTCGAGAAGTTGTGATTGGTACAGTACAAAAACTTTAAATAAGTTGCTGTACCCGAATAATTGCATTTTATGGAACCTCCCTTTATGATAACATATACTTGTTTCTTTCTACTAGCAGGCTATCCCTAGCACTTAATTCTAGCTCTAAACCTAACCCTGATGCTATGCCTGAAGCTTAACCCTAACCCTTGCAGCCTTACCATAACTCTTACTCTTTTTTTTCGCCTTAAAAAGATTATAAAACGCATGAAAGAAGAAAGGGTTGAAAAGTATTTTTTGAGTGAGATAAGAAGTACATGTAGCATATTTTAAATTGTTTACTATATTGAAAATGGTAGCAAATCATTTTCTAATGTAGCCTTGTATTGGCAAACAGAATGCCTATAGAGGAAAAGTGATGAATAGTTGTTGATTTTGATAACCTAAAGGCAAATAAACCCCATATAAGGAGAACTGTGTATATTATTGACATTACATTATAGGCAATACCAAGCCCTTTCTCAGTGCATTCATCATTTCCATGAGCATGTTTGTTAATAAAGAAAATGCACAGTGTACAAAATTTAGGAGTCCAAAACCAACACCTGCTTTATTTTTAACTTTTTCTGAAAAGGAGTCTGCTAGCCTTGACCTATTCCCAATGCTCTCACCACGGAGTACAGACAATAAAACGAAGCTAATACTTATAATCCCTATAGTAATACTGTACAGCAATACTCCAAAAAGCATTCACTTCGACTCCTCTTCATTATAAATCATCTTTGTCCAATTCACTGTCATCATCGAGAACGCAATGGCTAAAATTACGATTGCATGCGTAATGTAGACTTTTCCTCCTTTAAAAAAAATTAAGCACAATCCACAATTAATTTTTATCGTTAAAAAGTCTTTCTCACGAGAAAAGAATATATTTTGGATTCCGGACACTTAGGAAAATTAAGAAGGAATATTGAGTTGTTATATTCTTGTGGATCTTAACTGTTTATGCTCAATTGTACAGCATTCAAGCATACGTGTATCAGAAATAATATTATACATTTGTTGCGTGTCTTTCAAATAAAGCCAAAATTTATTTCACTGAAAAGATCTTTCAAAATTGAAATATGAGTATTTCAAAAAATTACTACCTCGCAGATACAGATGACATTAAACAGATGATAAGCCAATTAACCCTGCAAAAATTTTATCATTTAATTTAATTCGACATTTTGATATATCAGTTGTCAATTTCCAATGTTTATTTTAATCCTTGTGCCGGATTTGCTTCAAATGGAAGATATCAGAGAATCTCTGAGAGGTATTTCTAAAAAAAATGAATTTGATTCCAAAATAACAAACAGAGTTAGAGGGGATATGTACAATTTATGCGCTTTTTGTGTTTATGAGTTTTTGGTGCATATGCTTGTGGAATACGGAGTGACGTGATTTGCATCGAGATCGATGTCCCATTCTTCTTAATGTATAGTGCTTTGCATAGATGTACTCTTTGCGAGCAGATGTTCTGCTTTTTGGTGCCCTTGGAAATACTGTCTCTCAACATGGCGTTCTGAAGACTCAGATAGTTTTTCTTCTTCTTGTGACTAGTTTAAGGTGAATACTTCTTAATCAATGTGTTTAATTTTATGAGGGATGTCCGTAAAGTTCAAATTTTAAAAAAGATGGTGTCATTGATGTTTATCATTAACATATTTATAATCCTTTACTAAATATGAATTAAAAAATGTACAATTTTATTCAATTTCAAATAAATAATTACAATTATGGCTTCATTATTAGACTTGAAATGGTGAACCGGAGCACCGCAACATTTTTAGAAAAAATTAAAAAAGTTAATTACACCTGTATCACGTAATTAATTTCATTTGTATTATGTAAAATTCTGTGGAAATTCGGATTGATTTAACAGTATGAGGTTTACAAAAGTTATAACTACGAACCGGCAAAATTTGAACGTTCATAGTTCAGAAATTGCTGAGAAATCGATGTTAGAATCTATTAAGACAGGATTGTTCGATAAAAGGACGTTTTCGGAAAAGGTGGATCAGAGAGCAGTGATTAAATTCTGCGGAGATATTATTAAAAAAAAAACATCAACAGGGACCCATAAATGCTGTAAACAGTCGGGAAAATATTGTATCGAAAGCTGTACTTAAGTATTTAGTTGAAAATAAAATTTTCATAGGGAAGGAGCTGTTTACAGTAAGACATGCGTGAAGGAAGACCACCATTCTGAGATTGCAGTGCTGTCAAAAATGGGTAGCAACTGTTCCTTTGCCATGCGCTCGGCACTTTGAAGTGAAAGTTGCGGGTCCTTCGGATGAGACCTTAAAAACCGAGGTCCCGTGTCAGCGGCAGGCGCTGGCACGATGAAGATCCCTTACTGCTTAATGGCCCTCAGTGCCGAGTAAAGGTCGAAATTTGAAACGGTGACGTCTCCATATGAGTGAAAAATTCTCGAGAGGAACGTTAAACAGTCAATCAATCAATCATTTCGGAGAGAAGGAAAAAATTTCTCCTTTTTTTATTCAAAAGAAAAGTGTTTAAAAAATATTCCTAAACTCTCACTTAGTTTTGAAAATATACTAATTGCATCTGTTATTGCCTTATTGTCTTTCATAACTTTGAACTATTTTTGAATGATATCAAGAAGTTTCTAAATTAAACTTTATAATGATTAAGGTAAAGTTTGCGTTTACAGGGAGATAACTCTTGCGAATCACCAAAGCGTTTGAAACAGGCGAATTTAAACCAGCGATGCTAAGCATATCGGTAACGAATTTCCTCTGTCATACTTGATGTGTGTTGTCACTTATTGTTAGGACTAAAAACAAAGGACGTTTTCAGGAGAAAGTCCTATAACATATCAAAGCATAGGAATCTTAGAAGCCTTAGAGATTAGCGTGATGCATGTGGATGAACCAATAAAGGAGGACTTGTTTATTTTCGATACGGAACGTTGCAAGTTGCACGGCCATTCCGATCAGAAGAAAGTCATTGACGCATTGTTCTGTTGTGTGTTTCTCGCTTCACCGCTACACTAAAATTTTTAGTGAGAATGGGAAAGAAAAAAGAAAAGACCTGAGAGTATCCTGTAAAGTATTATGCTATATGCAGTCCGAACAGGGAAGAAAAGTCACGGTGCATTTGACCATGTCCAATGATGATGTTGACAGTTTGATTGTTAATAGTATTTTTATCAGGTAATTATTTAACTATTCATTTTACTGAAAGTTATGAATGATCTACTGACTACGGATTTAAAAACGATGAATAAACGGTACAAGGATGTCAGGATGTCACTAATATCCCAACATTGCCAAAAAATAAAAATGCATTTATTCAAGAAATTATGAAAATAAAATCCTTGCTTTATAGGCCTAATATTTGTAACATTATTGGAACAGGTATTCAATTGTTCAAGTTACCTTTTTAAATGAGGTTTGATTTAAATTAATATCTCATTTTCTAATTAATAAAAAAGAGATCAGATTGTGCATGACAAGAACATTAATTTTCTTGATCAAGTATTTGCATTTCACTAATTCAATCTGTAAATTTTACAATGATTTCATATTGATTCTTCATTGATTATATTGCAAATTTATTCATTTCATATAGTTAAATGAATCTCAGTGCAATTCCTTAAATGTTATTGTAAAAATGAATACATATGATTTCAGATCATGGGTCATTAATTGGAATAGATAAGTACCAAAAAAAAGTACTTCAGTGTTTCCTTAAAAGATTTGTGCCATCAATCAAAGTAGAGGTCATCCCATATCAGCTCAAGAATATTAAAGAAAGTTGGATGGATCAAGCTAAGATGTTGAACCAGACATGGCAAAATCAATGGAGATTTGGAGAAGAACTTCTTACTTATTATACCCAATGCATATTTTTATATGTCTATAGATTATAGAAGAAAATTTAATGTTTAACAACATCCTATCTAGTATATACATGCTGTTTTCCATATATGTAGAAAATATGTGTATGTGATGATTGCAGTGCATGCTCTGTTTGTCCATCTTTGAATTTGTTTTCAGTAAAATAAATGTATACATCATAGGTATTTAACTATTAATTGAAGGTTGCTTTTGTCTATACTTACATGTAACAAGTTTCTTAAAAGGGTTTGTAAAATTGCAAGGAAATTAATACATGAATATTTAAGATTAATATTTTTATTCATTAAATTTTGTTCTTACCAGGACCTAATAAGCTCAAATAAGTACATGTATTTCTGAAAACTGATGAGTTTTGTACATAAAGCTGCAGTGAACATGTATAATTATATCTACTGTAACAGGTTAAAACATGACACTTGGAAATTGTAAGGTTGTTAATTTAGTAGGAATGATAAGACCAGTTTAGTAATCTACTAAAATTAAAATCTTTCACAAATACATGTAGTTTATTTAAAAATTGTTTACATTTATAACCTTTTAATTTTTTTCTGTATTTTGATTTTAAAAAGGAAAAAAATTTTGTTATATTTAAATTATTATTTCATGGATATCAAGGAGATATATCTATCACTGTAGCATTGTTTCTTTTTCCCTGTTCTTGACAAATATTTACAGTGTTATGTCATTTTGCAGAATTTGCCTTTTCTCTGAAATCAGAAGTACTCTGTATATTCATTAAAGTATGAATTGATGTCACTTAGAATTCATCTTTTTTTTGTTCTGTCTGATATTTCAATTTAGATTCTCAGACTACTAATCCAATGATTGAGCTAATGTCCATGAAGTGTAGAAATAGGCCATCTTTAAAATATGTTTGGTTGTCGGCCTCTCCAGACCGACTGACTAAAATGACCAGACTGAAAACTTTTTTTTCAATGCAGGCCGTATTTTTTTTCTTTTTATTCCTCATCCCCCTTAAATCCCCCTTAAAAAAATGTTGTTGAAGATTTTCTCACCTACCGACCCAATAATTTTACCCTGAGTCAAGAGAGGGCAAACAAACATTACTTTAAAGATAGCATTTCTACTCTTCGAAGTAAAGAAATCATTTAATTATAAAAGCTTCGTGGATGCAATGCTTACAACATTTCACTCAAAAAATGGCATACATGTATAATGACCGTCACCAGTCATAACTGAATAAAGATATTTTGCTACAAAGATGTCTAGAAGTTACTACATGTTGGAATAACTAAATCAGCATGAGGTCAAATTCATAGGCTTTTAATTGGTTTAGTTGCAACATGTTCTGAAGTATGTTTATATACATATACATGTACTTCAAAGGTGTTGCAGTATAATTCATGGACAATTTCATCGGAATATTCAGATGTGAAGATTGCCATAAATACTAGAATTCTTCCATGGAATAAATTTTTAGACCATCATGTAGCACAGGAGGAGTTTTATTTTGAATATTTTTTGCCAATTTATGCCTAAAAACAAAATCAAAAATAACATTTAGTCTTTAACATTCACCATGACAAGGTGATATCAATGTTGTCTTTAAAAGTGTAGAAAAAGCCTGATTTTTATGTTCCGAACCCATAATATAGCCCCTGTTTCCATGGAAATAATATTGGGGACATACATATTTTTTTAGTTCAAATTAATGAAAATGATCAAATTAATAACTTCATGGGTTTTGATGGAATCGGTAGATATGTAAAACGTTGATTTTTATATTTTTGTTGCCATGGCAACGGTTTCACTTTATCAAGGAAAATTGAAAAATCTTCTTTTTTACTCAAATTTTCACATTTTTGATAACGGAAAATTAAAAGTTTAAATAATAGAAGTATGAATTATACTAATTCAGGTCATTTTAATTATAAAAGTTTGATAATTTATAAAATAAATTAATTTTTTCAATGAAAATAATATTCGAGATGAAATATGAAATACGTTAAATTTGGCGTCTTTTACTACGGGCAATATCTTTGAATATCATATCAAATGATGAAGCTAATCTCCCTGAATAAATTGATATATAGCATGTGTGCATATTAAAAAAAAATTGAGTTGGAGGGAGACGCAAACCTTACCTTAAAATATAATATATAATGAAAGGCAGTTTTGAGTCATTTAAATATTTTCATACATATATTTTATACATATATGTATTCCTGACTTGGTGTGTAAGTGACACTTAGTTTGATCTGTTAACAACAGGAAACAAATGATTGTAACACTGCACAGCTCTTAGTGGAACAGACAATAAAAGTAGAGATTGTGCATTCTGCATTGTGATAAAATGATCAGCTATAGAACAGAGATATATTTCAACCTTCTTGTTTATACTTGGCAGAGTTTATTGCCATACCATATTTTAAATTGGAAACTCAGACTGAACTCAGAATATAATCTTCAGTCTTATCGCAGTTTAATTCTCTTGAATCTTGGATACTCTCAGCTACATATTTAAAACTTATTGGAAACTAAATCAAGAAATTCTGCATTCGCAAGTGAGAGCGAATATCAATTCAAGTACATGTACACGCAAGTGTGCACTGTGCACACACAGTTCTTGAAACGAGTACTGAAATAGAAAAAAAGAATGTACACTGAAATTGGGCAAACATTTTTACAAGACCGCTCTGAAAAAAAAAAACAACTTCAGCATGCAATTGTTCAGTAAGACTAACAATGCTCTTAACGTTTTGAATTTGAAACGATAATTGGAGAGAAATATAACTTGGCTTAAAATATATATCAAATGAAACTAAACCCTTCCCGTGAATTCCTCTCTCTCTCTCTCTCTCTCTCTCTCTCTCTCTCTCTCTCTCTGATGCTTACAACCGATGCTTAGTGAATCTTTTCTCATATCAAGTAAAGTGTTTGATTCTTCCGTGACAAATCGGAAATATTAAATAAGAATATACTTGGAAAAGAGAAATAAAAATAACAGTAACTGATACTTAAACTTTAGCTATTAAGTTTTATGATAGAAAGGAAAAAAGTATACGTACAGAAACACACGGAAATATGAGAACACATTTGTATTTATTATTCTTGGTAATATTTCTTCTATATGCGGGATACGTCCACTCCCTCGGGTGTAAATCGCCAAGCGGGTCAGCGGTTGATTGGTAAGCTTTTATATAAAAAAAAAAAAAAGCAGTTGCTTGCTTCATTGATTTATTGTAAATTGTTTAACGTCACTCTCGATAACTTATCACTCATAAGGAGACGCAACCCCTTGCCAGTGGAGAGCTGCAAATTTTGTCCTATAGTCGGCACTTACTGTCTTGTAGCTGTAAGGGATCTTTTTCTTGCAAACACCTACTGCGACACGGGACCTCGGTTTATAGGATCCCACCCGAATGACCAGTCCCCACGTCCAACAGTGGGACTCGAACCTGCAACGTTAGGATTGACGCCTTACTTTGCGAGAATGATTATCTTAAGTGCATGAAATGCTTAATATGAAATGTGTTCATTGCAATTTCTACATTGAGGAATAATAAATCCATACAAAAAATCTTAATTGATTTCCTTTCTTAGCCGTGATGGTTTTGAAATTTTTTTTCTTATGAGATATAATACTAATAGTATTCTTGAAAAAAATATTTTCAGGGTGTCTGATTCATAGGAACAAGACCTGAACACTAGCAAATGAGTGGAAATAAATTACATCAAAATAACACTCTTCTGATTCCAATTTTTATGTTTGCAATTTCTCTGATATTCATACTCTAACGAATCTTTAAATATAGCATATCAGATAGATATCTAACAATAAATTAAGAGAATAAAGAAGAAAATTTATAAATTAGAATTAATCCTTGTCTTTAAAAAATAGTTTCCTTTCCATGCAGTCCCAGAACTCAACGAAGAAGTTTAATATTTCACCGTTTCCTTGTTTGTACTTAGAATATTTTCGGTCATCAAATAAAATGAATTATTTTTAGGAATTGACGGGGGATTCGCTGTATGTGCGAACAGGAAGTAAGTAATGTGGTCAGGTACAGTTTTGGAATGTGCCTTTTCCTGTTTCTAACGCAAAGTTACGCATATATCGTTTCCCCGTAATCACGCATTTTTCATACACTTTTAAAAGAATATTTTATCTTCAATTTAGTGCCAATTCTATTTCCCTTCTATTTTGAAATACTTGCTAAACTCTTATTAAATAAGTTATCTTATTGAAATTTAACATCATAATTATCAATGCTACGCTGTAAGCTTCCAAAAAAATTACACTGTGTTATAAAATACTTGTAAGGAAAATGTAACGTCTTATTTCTAAGATCTGAATATTAAGTATATGTAGATGTTATAGTTCAGTAAGCTGTAAAGAGTTATGAAATATGAAATATCAAACCATTAAAAAAAGGTATATTTCTCGTTTGACAAATATACAGGTTCATCCTTTACAAGATTCCAACAAATACAAAGAAGGATAACAAAGAAGTCAGGGGAGGTGAAAAATTTTACTGCCTAGATGCAAATTCTAATCCGAAAAAGTTAAAATTCTTTGACGCTGACATCACAAAAGAGGCTAACAACCCATTGAATCACACGCTTCAACAAATATACAGCGGCGTGAGTCTTTTAAAATTAATGATAATACCATAAAACTTATGATTCTCTTTTTTATATTTTGAAACTGATTTTTGTCTTTAGCTCACCTTAGAAAATTTTGGTGACCTATTGCTATCTGTTTTTGTCCAAAGTCGTGCGTTCTGCATTTATCATTTAAACATTTTCAGCTTTCTCTCTCAGTGTCTGCAACCGCTCAACCAATATCAACCAATTTTGAAAAAAGCATTTATGGGTGATGGGTAACAAAATTGTTAATTTCATGGTTCCTGTCCATCTATGGCTTGAGGGGTAGGACCAAAACAACTAAAATAAATGCAATCTTTAAAAATCTTCTTTCCTCATCGGCATGCATGTTATAAGCTTCGAGTTTTCTACCAAAATTGTGATATGCATGGTCGCACGGTCAGGGAATCTAGTGCTAGGGCGGGGCAACATAAATTGTGTAGTGAATTGTATGATTTCCTTTGAAAACTTCTTCTCTGCCCCTGTGCATTAAACAAACAAGCTAAATGTATAGTTATGATGAGGAAGGGTTCCTCTTCAAAAAATGTGAATTTCATGGCCCTGGGGTCAAGGGATTTATTTGGGATTCTTGCTTCTAACTAAAAAAGTTTAATATTGCACATTTGCCTTAAGGGCAGATGATACAAACAAACTTTTGTCGAAGGATATGAAATAAACAACCTGAGTCATGTTTTAATGAGTAAAATGAATAACTTTCACCGCGTTAATTTTAATTTTTTATTCAAATTTTCACAAAAAGAGATTTGAAGTGAAAAATTTTTGCATGGATTAATAAGGCTGATGTCAGAGAGGCAGAGTTCTGAACATCAAAGAAGGTTACAAAGTCTTTATATTCTAGAAATTTATTATTAACATTATTTTCAATGAAATTAGGCCGAAAATATATAACCAGGCATCCATTTTTTGTTTGTATCATTTGTCCTTAAAAAATATATTTGTTTACTTTTTTTAAACAGGAATCTACTGTTCACGCTATATATAACGATCAGCCACCTGAGTCGAATACCTGCAAAAATGTCAAAGAAAGTGGACACCTTAAAGGTTATATTTTACCATTCACCATTACACTAATTACAATGTAATCCCACGTTCCGCTCTGGCAGTTTGTTTACAAATAAACAGATATTCATGTACCGGGGTATACATGTGTCACAATAACATGGATTTTAAAAAAAAAATCTCAAATTTCTTAATATCTTAATATTTTTTTTTTGCATTTCAACATAACGAAGAATATTTTCTATTCTTAATTTTAGGAGCAACAGCTTTCAATAACGAGGAAGGATTTTGGATAATTTCTAGCGTTCCTAGATTTCCAATTCCGAAAAAGTACTATTATGGAACTGGTCAGCTTAAAAATGGACAGTCCGTACTTTGCATGACATTTGAAAGAAAATATCTTGACAAGATAGGTAACGTAATAAAGACATAAAATTTGTAGTTATTAAAGATTTCAATTACCCCATCATCTAACATCAGAAAGAGGACACATATACTGTCTCTGGGCATGGTACGTTCAAAAAAAAAATTAGACAAAATATCCTGACATATAAGTTCATGTAAATAAATACATAATTAAAAAAAAAACATGGATTTAAATTTTTTTTTTAATAAACAATCATTCCCATTGTCCTATTTATATTTAAGAAATTTTACAATCTCTGTCGTCATGCAGAATTTGGCAGTCTTTAGAAGTTTTACAAGTACAGATATTTTACGTCTTTTATCCCAAAATAGTAAATTAAGTTATATATTTAGAAAAATGAACTGAGGAAAGAAACATGACGAAAAAATTGGATGGACTGGTATTCATTTTTAGCATTTATTTGTGACAAAAAAATAAGAATTTGAATTATTTAAAACGTTGTCCTTTTCGGAATCCAGTCCGTTATTCCTAATTTAGCGGACACAAATTTAGTCTACAAAACACAGAAACGTTTTATTCTTCAACTCTCCAACTCCCTTCTAATAAAAATAATTAAGATTGGAATATTGATTATTATACATTGTATAAATTACGTTACTTATAAACAGGACATATATTTCAGGCTTATTTTTTTAATACATAACATAAAAACCAAATTCAAAGAATAGAAGTCCTCCACTTTTGGTGTCTTTTCTTTGTGAGATGTCATTATTTATGGCATATTGTGTCAAATATGAACGCCCTATCACATGGTCTTCAGAAGTTATCACCGAAGTTAATCTTTCATTTGAAAATTAGGTCAATCGTAAAGGTCAAGGGGTTAGAAATCATAGCATGCTCGGAACTACCTTGTCATAAGTAATACACATGTCAAATGCTAAATTCTTATCAATCAGCAGAACTAATACTTTTGAAAAGAGAGTCAAACTTGAAGGTCAAGGTCATGAGATCAAAAATCGTAGTGTTTTTAGAAAGGTCTTTTCACAGGCAATACATAGATTTAATATAAATGTATTATCTTTTCTCATTTAAAAGTCAAGTCATGACCAATTAGGTAAAAGTAAACTGTTCTTTAAAAGTAGGACAAATTCCAATCCAAGATCAATTTAACGAGCCAGGTCAAAAAACTAAAATGTATGTCGAAAGGTCTTCTCAAAGGTAATACATGTTTAATGTGAAAGTCATACCTCTTCTTATTGAAAAGAAATGACCATGGTTAAATTTTTTTGACGGAAAAACAGAACTACATCAAGACAGACGAATGAGATTTAATGTTCTCCCGCTTTCGCGAAAGTGGGGGATAAAAAAACCGATTTCCATAATCTTATTTTTCCTACATAGTTGAGGCCTTCAGCATAACTAAACCGTGTATCTATGATGGGAAGATTACGTTTGGGGCATCATCCGAATCAAGTACAGAGCTTCTGTTTACATCAAAAGGAGGAACAACGTTTAGATATTTCGGGAAATCAAACAACTTTTTAGGAGGTAAGCACTGCCGTAAATGTGGTCTTATTACCTGACTTATCCCTAGAGAAGGTCTAATATGACCATTCAACTTAAACTTTTTTAACATTCAGATTTGTATCGAAAGCTTGTTGCAGAAAAGTTGATGGACGATCTAAAAGTAGAAACATGGCGTTCGGAAGACTCAGACAGTTTTTCTTCTTCGTGTGACCAGTTCAAGGTTGAAAATTCTTTTTTTTAATCAATTTGAATAAATTTGTTTCATTATACATTTATAATTCAGTTATTTGTTATTGATGTTATCGCAGTGGTCGCGGAGCGAAAAGTTGTTCCTTACGTCGCACATTCAAATCCATCTGACGACGTGAAAACCGGTCCTTCGGATGAGACCGTATAAAGAGATGTTCCTGTCTCAATACATGTATAAGAAGCATTAGAGTTTTCATTATATATATGGGTCTTTAACACAAATCGGTTTTTGCTCTTTATCATAATGGGGTGGGGTCAGATTAATCATAATCCATTATCGTTTAAATTTCATTTCTCTTTAATAGGGTTAATTGCTAAAGCTGCGTATAGCGCGTCCATAATTCTTGGAAATTGATTTATTTATCTATCCGTTTTCTATGAACGCCATTAAAACTGAAAGTTAAGCTTGGCAGGGGGATGGATTATTCATTGTGTATCTGGTTTTCTAATCTTTCACAATTTTTTATGCATATTTTATGAATGATTAATTTATTTCTTGTTTTAATGGCAATGATCTTATTTTTGCTATTCTTTTTTTGTTTTGTTTTGATTTTGGGCTTTTTTTTGGTGGGGGATGTTAATTTTTATCCTTAAGTAAAGGACTGGTAAGAAAGAAAGAAAACCAACAAACAAAGATTTTTTTCTATCATCATTGACTGCATTTTATTTTAAAAGAACATATATTATTCCAACTTTAAGACTAATAATGAATATACCTTCTTTTTTCTGTTGGATACACAATGTCAGCAATTCACTTACCAAGACAGAATTAAACTTGTAGTTCATTGTAAGAGGATACATGTGTATTGAAAATTATCGAGAACTAAATTTGATTTAAATAGACCATATGGAGACTCTTTTGCTTTGTTTTGACTGCAATCACAATAAATGTGCATTGAAACAGTGTACTCGTATATTTAAATGTGTATTATTTTTAAGATATGGAATGTCAAAGAAATTCTCTTCAGTGATGGCTATGAATTCAGATCTTCGAAGGATCATTCAAAATGGGCAGTGACAGAAAATAAAAACTGGATATGTATAGGAGATTTGAACAGAGCGGTGAGTCATTGTATGTTGTAATCAAATTAGAACTATCCTCGTTATGTTAGTGTGTGCGAAATACTTCGCAATAAATAATATGTAAATATATGATATAATTTTTAAAGACTTTGTTTAACGATAATTGGCGGCATTATACAAATATTCTGCTGGTGTATTTTTTTTAAAATAAATTCAAACCTTTGTAACTCGATCTCTAATAGCCAAAATAAAAAAAATAGATAAATATATAAATAAAGAAATAAATAAAATTCGAGGTTTTCGAAAATTCAAGATACTAGTAATTGAAAAATACAGACTAATAGGTAGTTGGATTTGATGCATTTCTACACATACCTGTTTTTTTGTATCGATGTTCGGGAAAACAAATTTTAATTTAACAATCTTTTTTTTTCAGGACTCGCAATGTAAACGAGGTGGTGGAACAATGTGCCTCGAACATAAGGAAGTTTCAGATCAGTATAAAAGTTTGATTAAGTCGTACGAAGAATGTGACAAGAAAAGACAAAAGCCGGATTGCTCTTTTGATGACAACTACCCGAAAAAATTGAGAAAAGTTTGTCCCACCTCATAATTGTTCGGAAGAAATATACAAGTTTACTGAAATTGACTTTTATAAACTATACAGACGAGTCTTAAATAAGAAAAAAATTGGAACGACTCTGCTCTGCTCCATATTTTTATTGTTTCAATGGTTTTTAGCTTGATAAGTGTTGTTGTCGCTATAGTTTATTTTATAGCTTCGAATTGTGTGATCCCCAATATAAAAATAAGTTTAATTAGTTTTCAAACAGCAAAATTTTAATTTAGGGAATAACTAGTGCCTTATAATTTGGTATTTGCGACCATAAATGCTGATTTAACGGTCGAAAACTGAGTTTTACCGGCGACGCGTAAGCGGAGCCAGTAAAAGGGGTGTTTGCAACCGTTAAATCCTAAATTGTGAACAACAAATGCAGCTCGATTTCTTCGATGCATTACATGTAGCTTTTTGAATTTCAGTCTAGACGAAAGAAAAATCGGAATCTGGGATAGAATTTTCTTTAATACGTCGCTTTATGAACTTTTGTAAGGAGCGCTGACTTTGTTCAGTTGACAGCTTTCTTTTATACTAGGACAATGTATGGATCCGGAAGCTCTTTTACGATATAAATATTTAAAACAACATTTAATTCACCGAAAATAATGGTTTTTTTCAACGCACATATTACATGTAGGTGTCCTTGAAGTAAAAGACAACTACTCTACTCTTAAGGATATCCGATCCTCAGCCAGGAAGAATAACTCTAAAAATTCATATTTAAATTAAAATGCATTAAAATGAAGCTTGAAAATTATTTTTTTTTTCATGCAACAATTTTCATTATATTCATCTTTATAAAATTTAAAGTTTTTGGAAGTCTTAGAAAAGGTCCTATAAAAGTTGACATTTTTATCCTATAAAAGGAAAAAACCAACAGTGTCAGACTAGAGAAATACAATTTTCCGGAATCCAGCCTTATATACCAATGCTTAATACCCTGATATGAAATAAGAAGTGATTTGTGTTTTCTTGCAATGATAGAAAAAATCCTTTTATACTAAGTATTATAGCATACATAAATGAGTATAAAAATCATGACAATTTCTCTTAATGCCTGGATACCTATTGTTTTTTTTAACTTAGAATATATTTGTTAATCAATTTGCAATTGGAAAATGCATATCTGATATTTTAATTCGCTTTTTTTGCTAAAATATTGGAGATCTGACAATGTTCCCTACATAATATGATAAATTTTAATCTTTTAACATTTAAGAAATACTGTGGATAAATTTGCATAACTTTGTGGATTCAGAGATACTTTAAAAAGTGTTTTTGATTACTAAATTGCTAATTTTATAAACCTGAGGATACATTTGATAAAGATAAAATTGATAAAATTTGATAAAATTGATAAATTTGCATAACTTTGTGGATTCAGAGATACTTTAATGAAAGTTTTTGATTACTAAATTGCTAATTTTATAAACCTGAGGATCGGACTACCTTAACTTCTGGTCTTCATAACACCATACCTATGGCTATTAGAAAAGTTTTCTTATCTTTTATCAGTTATGTTTCCCCGTACATGATACAGGTTTAAATGTCCAAGTAAATCTTAACTGTAAACGTCAGTGTTTCTAGCAAAAGTCCTATAGTAATCCTTGGACTTTCAGTCCAGGAACTGCCATCCATGAATATGACACATATGGGATTAATATGATACGTATGGCGCCCGTGTGGCGCAGTGGTTAATGGTGTTGCAGAGTCGCAATGTAAGGAATTGAGGAATTGATCCTCACGTCGCCGGTACGAATACCACTTTTGGACGTGAAGACCGATTCTTCAAATGAGACCGTATAAACAAGGTCCCTTGTCGCAGTAGGTGTTGGCAGAAAAGAAGATCCATCCCTGCTTATTGGCCGTAAGTGCAGAGTAATGTAAAAAAATTATCAGCTCTCCCTCGGCAAGTGGTGGCATTTCCATCTGAAAATTCTCGAGAGAGACGTTAAACAACATACGATTATCTAAGCATGAGATGTGATGAAGTGTATGTTTGCATCTGCAACTCCTTAACATTTTTTTTGAGAGCAAAGAAAATCCGTGCTTTCAGTTATTTTGAGCAATAATAACTTCTGAATTTTTTTTTTCGAAATAAAAGTGAAATATTTATGATTAATAAATTTATTTCCTTGAAAACTGATATTATTCCCACATGTTTTATTTAGCATGCAACTTTTTTTTCTATTAAGCGGGCTCAAACGTTACCTCCGGTAATGGGATAAATATCATTAAACCGTTAAACTACCGTGTAGGCGACGTTGAAGATGTCCTTCCCTTTTAAGTACAAATTACATGTATAACTATGTTTTTTCCCTCTAAAGTAGGACTGGTTTCTTATCATATTTTAACAACAAGGTATAAAGGATGTCAATGCATCTGTATTTTCATTTTTTTTATTTGTATAAATCACTGTACAGAGATAGAAAGTTGAGTAATACAAAGCCACATTCTTTAACACATCAGAAAACATACATTTTGTGAATGATAAGTTGTGTGAGTATGTAATAAATGTCAATTTGCTTATTTACAATCTCTTTGTTTATTATAAGATTGATTTGCAATATGAATAAAAGAAGTTGCGATATTTGACAATAAATATATGATATAACCATGATTATAAGATGATATCTTTTAAAATTCTGACAATATACAGTTCTTCATATACAATTTTTTTTTCTTCCTAATTTATTCTTTAGATACTAGTAATTACAAAATCATCTTTTATTATATTAAGGTAAAAATGAATATTGCACTTCATACATGTACATATACTTTGTAAAATAATTACAGGATAAGAGGTGTAAATATGAACATCCATATAAAATAATTCCGATTTGTATTATGAATAAAAAAAATCATTTCAGACCAAGTCATATAATAATCAGATTTCACCTTTACATTGTATTGATAACACAGACAAGAGTTAAAATTTATGTTTATATTGATAAGAAAATAAACAAGAAATGCACTTAGTTTCGAGAAGTTGTGATTGGTACAGTACAAAAACTTTAAATAAGTTGCTGTACCCGAATAATTGCATTTTATGGAACGTCCCTTTATGATAACATATAATTGTTTCTTTCTACTAGCAGGCTATCCCTAGCACTTAATTCTAGCTCTAAACCTAACCCTGATGCTATTCCTAGAAGCTTAACCCTAACCCTTGCAGCCTTACCATAACTCTAACTCTGTTTTTTTCGTCTTAAAAAGATTATAAAACGCATGAAAGAAGAAAGGGTTGAAAAGTATTTTTTGAGTGAGATAAGAAGTACATGTAGCATATTTTAAATTGTTTACTATATTGAAAATGGTAGCAAATCATTTTCTAATGTAGCCATGTATTTACATGAATTGAAATTTTATTAATTTTCTATTTCAATCTGAGCTTGCAGTTTTGGGGATGGTATTTAAAGAAGGATTTGTTTGGTTATTAGCTTTCCTTTTTCCATACATTTTAAGAAACATCAGAGCTGAATGAATTCGAAAAAAAATCGTAAAGGGCAGAATTAGTTTTGTGCAGATTATCCAAAACGTTTGGCTATAGTATTTTTCTACAATGAAGCTGAGTGCAGGCAATTTTGCCTCACCAAAGGAGTCACCACCCCAAATACCAAAATTGCTTAAACTTAAAAGTACACAAATAAAATAAATTTTAGATTTGTACTTATTTTCATTCATTTTCTTGCTGTTTTCTATTGACAAAATAAAAACAGTTTGTTCACCAGCAAGAAAAATACTCAATATATTTTCAAAATAAGGAATTCCAAGAAATGTTACTAAAGTATCATCTTTTTCCATTTTAGAGCCTTTCCATATTGTAAATAAGTAAAACATGTGGTACACAACATTCATAAAAAGCTTAACATTAAAATAAGCCCTTCCAAGGTAAACTCGAAATCAAACGAACGCCAAGACATTAAGAGACAAGCTGTTATGCAGCAAAACATTGCAAATTTCAACAAAGATGAAAAGCATATATAGATTTCAAAAATGTCGTGGCCTTTACTGCCGTCTTTCACTGTAACTATGTAACTAACAGTGGCTATTATAATCAAAGATGATGACAGTATTACAAAGAAAAGGATTGGGGCTTTTTCTGTAAATTCATTCCGTCTTTGACTATCATCAATAAGATCCTCTGTCTCTATGCTCCGTTGTGAATCCTGACTGGTTGTATTAACAGAATCTAATTCGGTTTCTTCATGGGTGGAAAAAAGAAGGTCTACGGAAATGATAGCAAACTCAACAGAGCAAGGAGCAAGCAGAGGGTCAATATCTTAGATAAGACTGGTGGCTGTTTCAGTGTAATTGCACAGTGGTGTGGGAGAGGTTACGTTTGTTTTTCTTGGTTATTTTCGTAATGAAAGATATCTCCAGACTCTGAAAAAAATTGTGTCTAGCCAGAAACTAAAATTGGCAAACAGTATGCCTATAGAGGAAAAGTGATGAACAGTTGTTCATTTTGATAACCTAAAGGCAAATAAACCCCATATAAGGAGAACTGTGTATATTATTGACATTACATTATAAGCAATACCAAGCCCTTTGTCAGTGCATTCATCATTTCCATGAGCATGTTTGTTAAACAAATGCATAGTGTACAAAATTTAGGAGTCCAAAACCAACACCTGCTTTATTTTTAACTTTTTCTGAAAAGGAATCTGCTTGCCTTGTCCTATTCCCATTGCTCTCACCACGGAGTACAGACAATAAAACGAAGCTAATACTTATAATCCCTATGGTAATACTGCACAGCAATACCCCAAAAAGCATAGACTTCGATTCCTCTTCATTATAAATCATCTTTGTCCAATTCACTGTCATCATCGAGAACACATTGGCTAAAATTACGATTGCATGCGTAATGTAGACTTTTCCTCCTTTAAAAAAAAATAAACACAATCCACAATTAATTATTATCGTTAAAAAGTCTTTCTCACAAGAAAAGAATATATTTTGGATTCGGGACACTTAGGAAAATTAAGTATGAATATTGAGTTGTTATATTCTTGTGGATCTTAACTGTTTATGCTCAATTGTACAGCATTCAAGCATACCTGTATCAGAAATAATATTATATATTTTTTGCCTGTCTTTCAAATAATGCCAAAATTTATTTCACTGAAAAGATCTTTCAAAATTGAACATATGAGTATTTCAAAAAATTACTACCTCGCAGATACAGATGACATTAAACAGATAATAAGCCAGATAACCCTGCAAGAATTTTATCATTTAATTTAATTCGACATTTTGATATATCAGTTGTCAATTTCCAATGTTTATTTTAATCCTTGTGCCGATAAGAGATACATGTATCCCGGTGAGCTTCAAATGGAAGATATCAGAGAATCTGAGACAGGTATTTCTAAATTTCATTATTAGACTTAGGAGGGTGACCCGGAGCACCGCAAAATAAAAAAAAAAAAGTAAATTACACCTGTATCACGTAATAAATTTCATTTGTATTATGTAAAATTCCTCGGAAATTCGGATTCCTTTTTCATTATGATGTTTACCAAAGTTATAACTAGGAACCGGCAAAATTTGAACGTTCTTAGTTCAGAAATGACTGAGAAATCGATGTTAGAATCTATCAAGACAGAATCCTCTTTGTTCGATAAAAGGACGTTTTCGGGAAAGGTGGAGCAGAGAGCAGTGATGAAATTCTGCGATGACATTATAAAAAACACCAACAGGGACCCATAAATGCTGTAAACAGTCGGGAAAATATAGTATCGAAAGCCGAACTTAAGTATTTAGTTGAAAATGAAATTTTCAGACAGAAGGAACAGGATGACATGCGTGAAGGAAGACCACCATTCCGAGATTGCAGTGCTGTCAAAAATTAATTCTGTAACGTGATTTTGCCGTTATTTCTGTTAATAAAGTCGATTTTACGCGGACAGAGGTAGGATGATTGCAGGATATGAGACAGACATTGTAAAATATTTTTTTACGTTATTCTATGAAATTAAACATATTGTGCACATTTTTATGACTGGTTAAAGCGATATAAGAAATGTATTGAGTTAAACGGTGACAATGTTAAAAAAGTTGCATGTACTCGTATTAAGCATTTGACATCAGGATACGTCAAGTATTTTCGTTTTAGTGCTCCGGGTATGAGTATGTGTTTTTTGTATCTGATAAAAATAAAACTATTTGTGCTCTGCTTTTTTTGAAAACTTGCATATTAATAAAATGAAGCATGAATTTAGTGAAAATAATAGTTTCATATATTTTATCAATGTTTGTCAGTAATTAATTATCAATGTTGTCCACGAACTTTACGGACAACACTCGTACATTTATAATTTGATAATTCATTATTGATATTTTTATTCCCATGATGCAGTGGTTTTACCGGTCGCAGAACAAGAAGTTGATATAACGTCGGGGATTCAAATCCCACTGTGGGGCTTAAAGACCGATCCTCTGGAAAAAAAAAACACGTAGTTTTAAAACTAATGTCCCTGTCAAAATTATGTATATGAAGCATTTGACTTTTCAATCTTGGTCTTTAACACAAATCCTTTTTTTTTATATATATTTCATATTTTTGTGGAGATGGGATTATAATCACATTTCATAGCCTTCTCCATTCCATTTCTCTATGATAGTGTACATGTAAAATGCTTAGGTTTATTTTTTAGATTTGGAATGTCAAAGAAATTATCTTCAATGATAGCTATGAATTCAGATCTTCGAAAGATCATTCAAAATGGGCAGTGACGGAAAAAAAAAACTGGATATGTATCGGGGATTTAAACAGAGCGGTGAGTGATTGTATGCTTTAGATTCAGAACTATCCTTGTAAAAATAGTGTGTGCGAAATACTTAAGAAATGTTTTTAAGTTTTGTGTGAATTATTGGTGTGTGATTCACACAGACTTGTCATGTAGGCATATTTCATGAAGCGCACTAGCGCTTCATGACAAATATGCCTATGTGGAAGTCTGTGTGATTCTCAAAAACCCAAAATAAATGTCCGATCACTGCGAGCTCTTAAAGGAACGCCTGTGCGAAGAGAAAATTCGGACTACTGCACATTCATTCGCTAAAATTTTTTGATGCCGTAATTTGGACCCACAATGCATCAGTTGTTTTAGCTACGTTCTCGCGAGAATAACAGCAAATGTTAAACAAAAGTTTCTCGTTTTGATTTTTTTAATACATATTGAAGATAAATAGTAAACGAAATATTCTTCATTTACTTTCAGAAGTGTTTAGTTTTTTTTTCTTGGAAATGCAACTTACATACGACGTCATATGATGTCAGAGTCTGGACACACCAAATGTCACTTGCAGTCTGACTAGCATTATCTAAATTTAAAAAAAAATAGAAGAGTCTGTGCTCGCTCTAACGGTCGCACCGTCAACATATTAAAGATTCTGTAAAAGATTCATCAAATTTCATTCAGTTTTATAATATGAGTTGAGGATAAGAGATTGGTACCGAAAACGTAACAGACAGACGGACGGATGGACATACCGATTACTATGTACCCTCCCACCTTTCAAGCCGGGGGTATAATAAATGATATAACTTATAAAGACATAAAGAAGTATTGAGGTGCGAGAAAACAAAGTTTAATTTTACAATCTTTTTTTTCAGGACACGCAATGTAAGTGAGGTGGTGGAACAATGTGCCTAGAACATACGGAAGTTTCAGTTCAGTATAAAATGTTGATTAAGTCGTTCGAAGAATGTGACAAGAAAGGACAAAGGCCGGATTGCTCTTTTGATGACAACTACCCGAAAAAAGCGAGAAAAAATTTGTCTCTACCCAAAATTTTTGCAAAGAATTCTACAAGTATACTTTAAGGGAATTAGAAACGTAAAAGTATAAAAGATAAAAAAAAAATGGGAAGGATCTTGATTTCTGTAATGTAAAACCGTATAAACAGAAATTTCAGTTAAGAATCAATTTTGTATTTTTAGCGAGATTCTCGAGTTATTTAAAATTGAAAATCGAAATTGAAATTGAATATCGCTAATAAGTCCTCTGCAGATGATCAGCTTACAATTATTTTTCCTTTTTTTCAATTTTATATTTGCACAAACGATATTTGATTTATATTTGATTCAATTTAATACTCGAGCATGCTATCAGTTCTTTTAACTTTTGACTTAGTGCCGCGTAACCTCTCGCATCCGTTGTAAAAAAAATGCATCTAAATTCCTGAGTGGAAATAAATCATTTTATTATATAGCTAATAATTGTTTTAACTACATAATAAAGGAGTTATTGAACTTATATTGATGATTATTTACTCTCGTTGGCTGTTCAAATGCACGAGCTGCCAACAAGTGCCAATATTCACCAATATAAGTTTAATAATCCTATAATATTAAAAATACAGGCTTTAAATATAAACAAATGACAAAAAACAATCAAATATTCTCTATTTACTATTAAGCGTACAACATTAGTGATACATGTAAACCCATTATTTTTAAATGAAAGCAGAAATTGAAGCAAATCCTTTGTTAAAAATTCGGGAATAGAATGCAGAAAAACTGACTAAACGAAACTAGCTATAGTTTACGGCATCGAAATACTTGTTTTCTGATTTGCAAACCACAAAATTAAGGTTTCTTCAAAGGTCAACATGTCCAAAAATTTATTTTTACAATAGCCCTAAAACAATGTGAGGTATAAAGTCAAAACGTCTACAGTTTATAAATTTTTCATTGACAGGGCCATTTATGGAGTATGTGAATCAATGGTTCATATATTGTTAATATTTAATATCATTTATACATATTATCGATGATATATGAAGAAGGAGAGGAAGAAAGAGAAAACTAGAAAAAAAGAAGAAAGACCAGGGATAGGCATGCAGTGTTTAGCAGATAATTAGGCAGGTTTCTTTTTTACATTACTCGTACGCATTAGTAATGAAATTCTAAGCTTAACTGAGAATTGCACTTAAAGCTTCGTTATAAAGCATACATTTGATACAGTCCATAACCGCTGGGAATGGTTGGAGCAACAATAGATAAAAAAAAGATTTACATAGAAATACATTGTGTATTTCGAATTCAAAGCAAGATGTGTTTGTAAGAACACAGTTTCCCACCGTATGACAGCTTTTGACGAAGGCTGAAGTTTCTCAAATTCAGTTCAAACTACAAAGTCAAGGGATGAACACTGATGCTACTGAAGAAAGGACTTGTCCTCAATGAATACATGTATATCCATGAAATAGGAAAGCCCAAGGCTAAACCCATTAAAAGTATTTTTTTTTATAAATGAAGGTTAAACGTCAAGGTAAAAGTCAAAGGGTCAAACGTAAGGTACGTAGGAGAACACCCTGTCATTTTTTTAGTAGGAAGTCAAGGTCAGGTATACAAACTGCGGCCTGATCAATTGACAAGCAACTGAAAAATACGAAGGCTTCAGTATTAATTGTTCAAATTTATATCCATTTTCATATTTGTTAAAAATGAGTGAATTTAACTCAGTGACAAAGTTTATCTATAGAAATGTCGTATTACTTAGATTGAACTTGTGAGGTATTAAAGCCCTAGCCAATGTTAAAGTTTGATACATTCTCTGCAAAATAGGGGAAAAACTTAAAGGTCAAGGCGGTCAAATAAGTTGGTAGCCAAAGAAAGGTCTTATAACATGAAAGATATGTAGTATGGCACCCAAAGCTGCAATATAATTCAAAAGTTTTTGTGGACAAAAAGACAATAAAATAAGCAGCTGAACAGATTAATAGATACATGTAGGTAGATGCACGGACGGGCGAAACCAATATATACCCATAAATCTTAATATCTAGTTGGCCAGAAGTGTTGAAGCATAATTAAACAATTGCAATATTATACAATTATGGACTCTTTTGGCGTTGAATATGGTTTGTTATTCACCAGAAAAATATTCATATTGACCGAGGCGAAGCTCGCTGCGGCCGTTGCAACCATTGTTTACAACGTTGTTCGATGTTTTGATTGTGACGTCATAATGCCGTTGCACGAGCATTGACCCTCCGGTGAATACGGCCTAAAATCCGGTGAATATGTAGTGTTATGAACTGTTAGCGTTTGCATACATTATATAGGGAATATAAATAGACTATATAATAAAGACATTTATTGTTTCTTTCTAGTATATGAACAAGCAAAAAGCAAATATCTTCATGCCTAAAGGAAGTTATTCAAAAGAGTTATGGACGTCATTAAACGTAATGTGTACTTCATAGTTGGGGAACTAATAGAGTAACACAGTAAAGAATTTCGAAAACACTAAAGTCTGGCGATCTAGTTTAAGCTATTTGCAAAATTGTTAGCAAGCTAAGTTTCAAGTGCTATTGATACGTTTTTATAAATGGAGAAGACGATACAAACCGTGTATAAAATGAAAAGAAAGTCAATTCGCCGGTAGGAATTATAACCGTTTTCTACACTACTTGATGTTTCTAGTATAATTGTATTATGAACAAATACCTTAGCCTTCTATAAAATGAAAAACTATCCTCTCTTCTTTTACAATTTACAATGAAACAGGAAAACAGCTTGTTTTGCAATACATCATTAATGCTGGTAAACAACTCACTCAAATACATCCTTAAAATTACCAAATATAAACCTTTAATAACAACATCGGTATTTCTGAACCCTAGAACTTAACAAGTACTTAAATTTATCGAAAAATTTTTGAGGGAAAAATATTGAATTTAATTTCCTTTTTGAGAATGTTAAGGATAAATATTTAATTTCGTATTGATCCTAAATCTGTGGGTCTCTCCAAGCCTCAATAACAAAGAAAATACACACATGCTAAAATAAGTGATTTCAAAGTACATGCATTTATCCATTTGGAATTGGGCGAGGTTCAATATTTCTTCGCTTAAGAACAACTGTAAACAAAAATAGTACATTTTATTCGTCTTCAAAAAAAAAATTTGAGGCTAAAAATCCGTTTTACAAATATTAATTTATTTATCTGCCGTCAGCGACAGGTTTTCGTAGGTGAAGTAGGTGTTCGGCGTCCTGATTTGCCCTCACAGTTTCTAAGCTTTGATATCAGTCCTCTTAACTGATGTGCAACTATTACATGGTCAATACAAAGGGTAAGTCCTCCTCTTTCAAACTGTTTATCCTGTAATGTGAGCAATTCAAATACATGCACGTTGTACACTGTGTATATATATATATATATATATATATATATATATATATATATATATATATATATATATATATATATATATATATATATATATATATATATATATATATATATATATATAAATACTATAAGTACTATTTTTCATCAATAAAAGGGAGCACTTCCCTCTCTGGATTGCATTATGAATAATTGAGTGATTTTATGATACTTGTTTTTATAGATATTCATTTTTATACAACAATATATTTTATTCATAACGCGTTTGAATTACATTGGTATTAGAAAAATCATGTTAATCATGTGGTCAAAAATTATGTAGGTCCTTTTATCAACATAATCATGTGGTCAAAAATTATGTAGGTCCTTTTATCAACATTTTCGACAGGATATGCATTGAGAACTGTGAAAACAATGATTGTGCAAAATCTTAAGAGAAAGGCTGGTTGGATGGATCAAACGAAGCAGAATTAAACTCATGTTTGGTCACGTTAAACCTGTTCGAAAGTTGTTGAAAAAATCTATGCGAAAACAAAAAGAAACTTGCCATTGTTTATATGATAAGTGAACAAGTAAACTTTAATGTGCATGAAAAATTTATTTCATACTCGTGCATGTAGAAAAAATAATAAGATAGAATACTTTATACCAAATACATGGAAATACTCACATATCTGTTGATATCCCCTATGCAAGTCCAATTGAGGTTTTTAGTTACAGCCCACTTAGAGTGATCTTCCGATGAAGGAAACGTAAACCCGTCATCGTGTTTTATCTCTTCGATGTCATCGACCTTAATAGTAGAATACCTCAAGTTAAATTTGAAAACTTTCATCATAAGTTATCCATACTTGTTACTGAAAAAAAATCAATCAAATATATTTTAAATTAGTTTCAATGTTAAATCATAATGATGAATGGTAAATGTTATGGATATAGATGTATTCGAAACATATACACATGTATCTAACATTATAGAATAAATTGCTGCAAGTAAAAAGATTTTTTAAAATTTATGATACATACGTGTTTTGTGCAATAATATTGACTGTGCCATGTCTCTACTGAAAGTCTGTCCCCTAGACTTTTTGCCACCAGGTCTTCATATAAATCTAAAAATAAAATCATGTCAATGTGCTAAACTATATGTACACGTGTCAGATGTATCAACCATGCAAGTTTGCTGGTCATCAAAGGGCTCATAGTTACATGGAAGTTATACTTGCACCAAAAATACCATGCAAAGAACTATATGCGGTATATTGCATATATTTGCCCCCACAAAAGTCAAATTTTGAAAACTTCCTGAAAAGTGCTGAATTCAATAAATTGTATGAGAAATATAAATTAACAGAAAATATTATAATGTCAAAGCAGTGTATTCACAATTTTTTTGTTTTCATGACGTCACAAACTAGTCCAATTTTATATCCTTTTTCAGAAAGAGGACAATATGGACAAAATTTCAACAATTTTAGCTTAAAAATTTAAAGAGCGCAAGTGGGTTCTGGAACAATATTGACATATTTCATTGATGTTATCATTCTACAAATTATATCAAAATATTGATCCTGAACACACATGCGCTCGGTGACTTTTACTCAAAATATCGACGAAATATGTACATTTTTCTGTAAAATTCATAAAAAACTGAAATTTACGTCATGTTTGTGACGTCATTGCGTACATATGGCGTCATTAATTATGAAAATATTCAGTGCTTTGAAGTCAGCATATTCTCCCCTGTTTCAGAACTTAATTAAATATATCTTCATAAAAGTTCGATTTGGGGGGCAAATATTGGTTATTACCGAATAAAGTTCTTTGGCCACAACAGCGCTTATAGTTACTTGGTAATAAGACCTATACCCCCCCCCCCCCCCCGCTGCGACATCGTTGAGGTGAACTTAAATAATTTTGAATAATTTGTAAACATTTAAATATCTACCCTCTGGAACACATTACATGGTACGTTGGTGCATATAAAGTTTTGTTTTAGGTGGATTTACCATTCGTATTCAATTCTTACATTTGGATGGTTGCCCGCTTGGCACGGTGACTAGAGCGTCAATTAGTGTTGGCATGCAAAAGATCCTTTACTGCTCAATGGCCCCGAGTGCCGAGTATAGGACAAATCAAAATTTTTGTTTTGCCACTGGCAAAATGTGGCGTCTCGATATGAGTGGAAAATTCTCGTTAAACAATATACAAATAATCAATCCAATCAATCTATTTAAATATATTTTTTCAATTATTTTTTGTTTTAATTTTTGTACAGTGCTTAGAAGACTTTCCATTCTTAAACTATAATCAAAGAAAGTTGAAAAAAGAGAAATTTTAATCGTTGCACCGTTCATTTTCATATTCTCGTTACGCAACATTTACGCAGAAAATCTAGAATGTCTACCTTTTTTTAAAAGATAACTTTTTGCAAAAAGGCGTAGGCTTTGACCCCCTTTTGAATGAAAAGGTACTTCAAGGCTCTCATTTGACCTTATATCTAGATGTGTTCCAATTCCGCTGCTGTAGTAGATGCATTTATAAGGCTGTATTCTTCAATTCTTACCCATGTATGTTTGGAATATCGACAATATATTAACACAAAAAACCATCTGGGCTAGTGTTGTTTGCGAATCATACAATCGATACGTGAAAGGATCCGGAAACCTAGGGATGCTTGATATTATCCAGAAACCGCTCTCAATATAAAAACCAAATACACCTAATAATTCAAACAGTCTGTGTTTATACAAAGAAGAATGAGATTTCAGAGATTTGGAATGTTTGATACAGTTACTTGCAAATTAAATCAAAAGTGGTCCTTTGGTACAAATGGTCTCACTGAATTGTATAGAAAGCTCTCTCTCTCTCTCTCTCGTATACTATGAATTTAAATGATAATAAAAAAGATATGTGTTTAGGAAACAGTCTGAAAGGTTTAGTTATTCTGGATATTACATTTCAGGAACAGTTGTGTCCTACAAATAATAAGAAACCATATTTAAGAATTAGTTTAGAAATAAACGAATATTGCGAACATTTCTTTACTTTCGAAATTTAAGATATGAAGCTAACGTGAAGGTTCTCTGCAAAAAAAGAAGCTTTCTTCTTGAAAAGTGTGTTAGCATTTACTTAAGTTTCATTAAAAAATTTTCAGTTAACTGGCACAAACCCCTTGGCTTTCAATGGTAATAGGGGCTGAGAGTATGGCATTTCACTGGAGTACTTCCGATAGATAGGACACATTTCCCAGAGCTCCGGATTTATTTTTCAACAACTGATTAGAATCTTCAAATCTAACGTGCAACACTATAAATATTTAATGTTTAGTAGTAGCGTATTAGTCCTACATGTAGATGTATTTTTTCTTATTTCCTAGATAATCCTAAAAAAATTAAGTTTACCTTTTGTTTTTGAGCTTCGGTATTTCGGACTTTTTTTTCGGTGCATTCTAGTTTTCTTGATTAAAGTGAATGAAGATAAAACCAAAAAATAAAAATTAATTCAGTTTTATATAAGTCGTCGCTTTTTACCAATTCAGTTTCAGACAATTATGCATTTACTTTTGAATTATAAGTGAAGGACAAAATTCCTGTTTGTTTAATGTGTCTAATCAATCTTTATGAATTGATTTTTAATGTCAAAACTTCAAACACTTAAACCTTTTGTATGTCCATAATCGCTGGGTTTCTTCTTGTTAATAGTATTTATTGGTGGTTGGTCATTATACATCCCGAAAATTTTTGTTTTCTATAAAAAAGAAAATGCAAATATATATTTGGTCTTTGATATTGGTACAATGTGTACAAAGTATTGCAGGAAAAATTATATTTGAAGATTTCGTACAGAAAATGGCATTTTCATCCACAACTTTGGGCGACTTAATTATTATTGTTAATAATGAATAATATTTCCATTACTTGATGAAATTAAGGATTAAATTACAATTACCATGATTTTATTTTCTTTGAGGTAATGCATTACATTACCTCTGCAAAGAAGGGTATGGAGATAACGAACAGTATTCAATTTCAAAGTCCACAAAACAATACAAAATAGGAGCAGAGCAAACACGGATCTCTGAATCATCGTGGCGGGATCAGGTGCCACTAAGGAGTGAGAATCCCCTGCTGACCGGTCACACCCGCCGTGTGCTCCTTGTCTTGATCGGGAAATTACAAGAAATTCCGTTGTCAATTCAGTGTATAAATAATGGACTAACAAGTAGTATGAAAAACGTCAGTCAGCATTTGACTCAATAAATTGTATTTCTTAACAAGGTCATTGTATCGATCATAGAACTTACAAAATACTGACTTTAAAAAAGAGTGCTGATATTCTTGTTTTATTAACTTGCTGATCAATAATTTACATCATTTTAGAACTTCTTCATACGTAGAGCATGCTCTTGTGTATCGAATCAGCTCAGATATATACACCCCGTATGCAGGTGTTGAAGTATATTGGTGCTTAAGTAAGAGAAGTTGACAATTGAAAAGTTAAAGTAATCAAGTTTATCATATAGCTTGGTTGTTAGATAACCATTAGCGTCTTTTTCAAGTAAAATATCCAAGTATGAAACAGATGTGACAGGGTATGTGGTATCTTTTATCTTAGGCTCACCAGGATACTTTAGCTTTTGAAAACCCCTGGGGATCCGGGTTAGAATAGATCCTCAGTACCCCCTTGCTTGTCGTAAAAGGCGACTAAATGGGGCGGCCCTTCGGGTGAGACCGTTTAAACCGAGGCCCCGTGTCACAGCAGGTGTGGCACGATAAAGATCGATCTCTCCCTGCTCAAAGGCCATAAGTGCCGAGCATAGGCCTAAATTTGCAGCCCTTCACCGGCAATGGTGATGTCTCCATATCAGTGAAATATTCTGGAGAGGGACGTTAAACAGTATACAATTAATCAATCAATAACTTTTGAAGCATTTAAAAAAATTGAAAAAAATGGCAACTTTTTTCATATACATGAATCAAATTCATTCACAACTAATCATGATGATTAATAATTCAAATTAGATTTCAAGTACCTGTTTTTACATGTAATATATTTTTCATAATTTACGTATATTTTTGTTACTCTTTTGAAGTTCAATTTTTTATTGACAATAAGATTTAATTGTGCAGCTATTGATTACATTAAATCCCTCCCTTAAACTAACACTGAAGTTATTAAATATAGAACATATACAAAATTTCGGATCTCTTGCCTTAAACTATGATAAAAATGTGTTATTAACACAGGCAAAAGAAAGATATATAAATGTGAATGTGAGAGTGCGAGGTGGGGGTTGGTAATAGAGAGAGAGAGCTAAAATGCTTTACCTTTGTGTATATTTGGTTTATTGTTCTATATAAAGGATTAAGACTTTTTCCCTGTATATCTTTATTCTTGAATAAAAACGTAGAATTGTTTGAATCCATGTAGTAAAACTCTTTGCCTGTTCTATGAAATTCAGCAGATCTCCTTTGTTTTGGATTCGGATTTTTGTACAAAATGTACCTTGAAAAAGAAATAATAAAATAATAGTAACTGTTGTATAAAAAAATGTTTATAAGTAAACTAAAAATCAATTCGTTTTCCATGTAACTACATGTAAAAAGATAATTTAAATTTGATGAAAAAAATACATTTGATGACTCATTTTATTGCTCACTAATCATTGTACTAATTAGGGTAACATTTACGAGTTGAATTAGAATAACTATATAGAAATAGGACTTAGTTTGATTATTTATAATTACATATATAAGGGAACTTCCCAGGAATTAACCACGTCGAAACGTAACAAAAAAAATCTTTTTCATAAAAGTTTTTAACCATAGTTTCTTAAAATGGAAGCAAAACACAGACATTTATATTTTTTGTAACGAGTTGTTTATCTCGTAATATGATTATTCTTTACAATTGTTCCGCTCTATACAACTCATTGCTTGTATGTAGCTACGTGTCAGATACATTGTAAAATAAATTGTTGGTAATTTCAGACATACCAGTCCACTTTGTGTCCAGCTGGTGACAAGCAAGAAACCTCCTGACTGTGGCAAAAAACAAGAAATTCCAAGAATACAAAGAGAACAACAGGAAAGAAAATTTTCTTCATTTTTGACACCCTTTATGATAATTTCGAGAACAAAATCCCAATACTTTTATCATCTATCGAAACATTTATAGCTTAATACTTCCGCATAAGGAGGATGTACATATTGTGGCAGAACCAATTGAAAATGTTCTGAAGAATTTGAAGAGAATTTTTGACCTTATATAGAAATAATAATTCAAATTAATTTTTTTTGTAAACTTTTACCATGTCGCAAATTAACTTTTACAAACGATGGCTTCGAATTGTAGAAGGTTTTTTTTCACCTTTTACATTGTTTAGATTTTAAACACCCGCTCTTTTTACGATACAGTTTTGGTCTTATTTGTAAAACCTTTACCCTTCCTGCATTATATTGTTAGTTGTATATAATAATCTTTACACAGGTGTCTGTGCTTGAATGTGTGTACATATATTCATTATCTCGGATGATGACTCATTTATATTTCAATAAATGTCCATTCAAATCCATTTTACTGTTAGTTTCTCTGACTTAGTTCATTCTCAAAATAACTGAAATAAAACGAGTAAAAATCGTGAGATCAATTAACAGAACCCCATGACTTTCCACTATGCACATTTTGGGGGTACTTATTTACGCGATAGTGTTGATATGACGGTGAGTGAGTAAAAAAAGTAATCCTCTAAATCGGAATGATATGCCTTTTTGCTACCGTATACTCCGCATCGTTCTTCTTTTAAAGCAATCTGTACACAGCTCTCAGCAGTTCTTAAATTGAAACTGTTGTTCGCATAAATTGAGTTCAATGCAAATTAATCTAACAAGGCAATTAAATACATCTTAAGAATGATTTATTTTAACTTAAATTTAAGCTTATTTCACTAACGTTAGACATAAACTACACAAATTAATTGGTAAGATTTTACAGACTCTTGGCTGATGATTGTGATACTTATCAAATGATTTTGCATGGTTAAATGAAGCCGTCTTTTTCAGTTCCTTTGCAAGGAGTCCTTTGCCTTGCCTAGTCACAGAAATAGTGCATCTCTTGTAACTTCTGTATTTGGTGTGCGTTAACATAAATCGAGAGCACAAGATGTTAACAGTAGTTTTCATCTGTTCGACTGTTCTACATGTGAAAATGTGGCATTTTTACGAGTTACTTTCTGAAATCTAGCATCATGATAGATACACCATATTGCAAAACTTGAAAGCTTCAGACCACAAATAAAGAAAATAATTTTGAATTCAATACGCAGCAAAGGTTACAGTAAGAAGGCGGGGCCTAGTTTGTACGGGAAATGTTAACTATGATGTCACAATTAAAATTAGGTCTTCAAAATACCACAAATTGAAATTATTTGCTATTTCAAACAGCTGGATAGCTGTATACTACATACAAACTTGCTATTACATGCAGTTCTGACGTTTATTAAATCCCTCACAACAGTATATAAACGATGCATCGATCGCAATGCACTTGTCAATGTGACGTCATCTCGCTACAATGACGCAGTTTGTACACAGTGAGAGGCTGATCAAGTCACACTTTGTACAATGAAAAATGTGTTTTGTTCTCAAATAAAATATTATTTGCAGTCAAATTAAGAGCCGTTAACTTGGATGCGATGTCTATTTTAGTATTTTATTTATAAACTGTACGTGCATTCTCCAGACAAGCGATACTGTCGTGTGTTTGTACGCCGATTCAAAGGAAGGGCCCAAAAAAATCGATTTATTGCAAGGGCATACCCTCAATGTATCTTGTCAAAATTTTACACATAAACTCAAGAAGCATTAAGATATTTGAAAGTGCTGCGAACCTCTTGAAATCTTGCAAATAAATTAATTATAGCTATATTTAATGTAGTTGACAAGCAAAATATTCAACCTGCCGTCGAACAAATTAAATTTTACCAATTAAAAAACGGGAATCGATATAGTTTCGCAGCACTTTTCACAAACTACATATAATGTTGGAAAGGATTATAAAATAAACTAAGATTTTTAACTTGGTTATGCCCTTGCAATATTGAAAATCATAGATGACCTCTAAACTGCAAGTATAATTGCCAAAGTCAAATGTCCCCAACATGTAAATTTAAACCACATTACATTTTTTTGATATCAATGAATTCCTAAAAAAAATCGTCCATCCTAATAAAGTATGTATTTTTTATCTTAAAAAATCGCCGATATTTCCACTTGTAACCTTAACTGTGCTGCGTAGTAACAAATTGCTATTTTAAGGAAAATATCATACTTTGATATCCCATATTTTGGAATAATTTCTTGAGGCAGCATTGACATTTTTCGATACTACGTTTCGACAAAACCAAGTCGGGTATGGTAAATGTGTAAATGCATTCAGGAAAATGGTAATCTGTAAGAAGTCAGTTTGTAAATATCAAATAAATACAGCTAAAAATTCATTATTTGTACTTTGATTATAACTTTTGAACGTTTCATACTAGGGCTTTTTCCATACATGTGTATTTGTTCCTCATGAAAAGACCTTTTATTTGATCCCAACACCTTTGATATTCTTAACTTGACCGTGGAAATTTACATGCTTATTTTTAAAATTAACTTCAGTTATAACTTTTGAACGGTAAGAGCTAGAGCTTAATATAAGCATAACATTTTTCTTTTCTTGTGGGAAGACCTTTCGTTGGATAACAGAACTTTGACCCTTTCACGTTGACCTTGGAATTTGATCTACTTTTAAAAACTTAAACCTAGGCCTTTGAACGGTAAGAGCCATGTAGTATATACTTAACATACGTAATTCTTGTGACAAGACATTTCTTTAGATACCAACAGCTTTGACCCCTTGACATTGACCCTTGAGTTTGACCTACCTTTGAAAAAATTATCCTTGGTCATAACTTTTGATTTTATTTTACGTCAGAATACATGTAGCATCAGTGTTTCACAGACACATATTGTTTTTTCATGATTCTAAAGAACTCATTTACATCCAGTTATGCTTTTTTATAATCAAAATTACCTTATAACAAAAACATATTAATTTACAAAAGGCAAACATCAATTTGTTATCGAATTTTCAAAATTTAATCCTGTGGTTGTTTACTCATTATTCAAGAGAAATTCACTGACAAATGAGTCAATGATATTACATTTAAATGAATGAATAAAGATTTTTTCCTAATTGTTTGGTCTTATGTGTTTTTATAACTTTAAGAATTTTTGAACGCTTAAAGGAACTTACATGCACTGTATTCTTTTATAGAAAACAAGAATACTTTATAAAATACCGAAAATTAACGGGTTTATTTATATCTTATGCCATATTTTGAAAAAAATGACAATGGATCTTATGGGAGGAGTCCTATGGGCGTGTACATTTCGACAAGAAAAATGAAAGACTGCATTCTCTTTTTAGGACAAGTATTTCCCTTTTTTGTCTGTTATTTCTTTGTATTTCGTTTGTTTAGATTTTTTAAACAGTAATTCTAATGGGCTTTTAAGTAAAGCTGTTAGTGTACAATGTAAGAATCTTTTTGATAACGTTATAACTATAAATTTACCGTACTTGTAAAAACCGTAAAAGGAAGCAATAACTTCCCTCATTTATTTTTTATGCTATTTTGGAGTACGGCTGTTTAACGTGTTACACATAATTAGTAACTTCCTTTCATTAGGTAATTAATGGTGATAAAAAGGAAATTTAAGCATAGTTTAAAGAATCTCAGTGTAAAAAAAAAATTGCATACACAGGTCAAATATTTTTTTCAAATTTATAAGTGTTGATATATTTAATGCTATTAAAAAATATATATATGAGGATTGTCCTATGAAGTCGTAGATTAAATAAATTTTGCATAGACATAATTTATTTAATTTTTTTTTATTTTTATTTTGAGTTTTATTTTTCATATTTATAATATTGGGACGATTTATATGACGGTCGATATGGTCTGTCGGCGCACGACCACAATGCGACATAATGTAAGCATTTAACTATTTCATTTGCATGGATATCTTGAACTCAAATTTAAATCAGTGAACCAGAATCAGAATCTTAATAACATGTCAATTTTTCAAATATATAGCTCTAGAAATGGACGATTGGTGTCAAGGTTTTCAAAGTGTTGTTAAAATTAAGTTAAACTTTGATGAAAATGACGTCATCAAACGTAGTATCGGCGCACGATGATGTAATAAATTGTTATGGATGTGGTTTATATACACTGAAGACAGAAAAAAAAAATACAGAATTATCATTACAAACAAGATTCTAATAAAACTTTTCTTTTTAATAGTATGAGACTCAATGATAGTTTTCCTTAATACCGGAAATAGACACCTCATCTAAGAAGTTGAGTACTGTTTGTTAAATGCAGACAGTGAGGAAAATTTGGACGTCAAACAATGTGTATTCTCTTCCTATAATCAAAGTGGATATTTCCACTAAATTTCTATTGAAATTTTGAATCTAAATTAACGGACAGTAGTAAATTTAATTAAGTCCCCTAGTCAAGAGTAGTTTTTCACTTTTGAAATTCTATTGGATGATAAGAGATGCGTGTCAAGCAGGAAAAGAAATCATGACATTATAAGAGACGTAAATAACGTTTGCTTTCGTGAACCGATGTACATTTACACTTAGGTGCTTTTTTCTTCATAATTTTGATATCATGAATATGTCATCATGAAACTGGTAATGCATGAGCATAAAAAAATGGATAAGAGAACACCTAAATCTCTGTGACTAGCAATAGGAGTTTCACTGGAATAAAAAAAATATAAAGTTAACAGAGAGTATTAATAACCCTTCTTCTATAAAACACGTATTTTTTAACAATTGACTTAGATTAACACGTGTATCGGTGGAACACAAGATAACTCGTCGTACCTAAACTCTGAAATGATCGGCTATTACATTTATGATAAAAGTGATGACCTCAACTTATCAATCACCTCAACTTATCAATCGTCAACTTCTCTTACTTATGCAGCAATTTACCTTCATCATCTGCATTATGGAGTTTATATTTCTCAGTTGATTCGATACGCAAGAGCATTTTTAAGTA